TAAGTATGTAAACCTAACAATGAACTTTTTGTAATTGCCCCCTTTTGGTCTGTAAATATATAATTGGAAGTGTCTTGTTATATCTGTTCGATAAATGCAGAAAAATACCTGTTGATCCTGTCAGAAATTCAAAGATGTCCTGTTTCTTGTGCACACTTTCTGTGTTACCTCAGGGGGCTTATTAGCCCCCACAGTTCTTATTTTGGGACTTGGTGTAGAATGGGATAGAGGTAAGGTTTGAGTAGTTTAGCAAAAGAAAACCAGGCAGTCTTTCCATTAATCCACAAGATCTACAAAAAAAAAACATGTGTGTTGTCAGCCCACAACTGGCAGATCAGCAGGTAAGTTTCTGTACTTGGCAACTGCATAATTTATAACTAGCCTTGCTAGCAAGGTGCACATGGATGGGCTTACAACAATACAAAACACAAATATTCCCAGCACACTTACCGGTTAGCCTGCAACAAACCAAATTACACTGTCTAACAATATGCTTTAAAAAAACTCAGTTTTTAACACATATTGTTAAACAGTGTAATTTGTTTTGTTGCAGGCTAACTCGTAAGTGTGCTTTGGAATTTCTGTGTTTTGTAAGGTTTCTGTACTTACTGTGTCTTTAAAGGCAACACATGGGGAAATGTGAATGGGTTTCAGAGATGTACTGCAAATGTTGTTTTGTGTGGTTTTTTTTGTTTGCCCTGGCATACACTTTAAAACTGTTTTCTTGATTGTTTTAATGTTTATCCCACTAATATTGTATCCTTTCATTATATTTTCAGAGAGAAAATAGCATTGGGCGTTTCCTTGATTCATAGTTATATGCTCCAGGAAAATAATCAAGTTCCATGGGCTGGGGATTGCAATTCCTATATTTCTATGAATTCTCCAACTGATCATAAACTAGATAATTCACAGTTTAATGTATCATCCTATCAGCTTCCATACTGCAGAGAAATTGTTCAGGTATAAAACAAATATATACACCCACACGCTTTTATGTCACTCTCTATTACCACCCAGAAATGTTTCCATCTTATAGTGCAACATAACTATGTATTGTATTAGAAACCAATTCTTAGATACTGCAAGAGATAAACACATGAATGCAGAAAGAAGGGTTGTCCTAGTCTGTTACTATCTTTAACAAGATAAAAATCAATAGCCCACAGGTACATACACTGCTTGTGTTTAAAAAAAAAATACATTATTGATGTATTTGTGATTACAGAGCTAAATTAGTTTGTCATTTTATCTGCTCAGAGTCCAGCTTTAACTTCAGAATTATTATTATTTATTAATATTGGTATTTATACAGCGCCGACAATTTACGTAGCGCTTTACATCAGTCCCTGCCCTTAAGGAGCTTACAGTCTAAGGTCTTTATCTCACATGCATACATAGAATAATAATTCAAATTGACTAAAATACTCCTTAATGTTCTATGTCTTTCCCAAAAACTGAAAAACAGGAATAATACCCAGCAATTCCAGTTCCTACAATGAACTTTACTCAGAAAGACTTCAGAGAAACTCAAAATCTGATGTTTCAGAGACATGCAGGTCACCCTTCTCAAGGTGACAAGCACACTGTGCTTAACATTTAAAAAAAAAAAAACTAGAAGCTGTCATCATATCTTTATCATTACTAACAATGGGATTACAATTCCATAGCTTTGTAGATAATACTTTACTAGGTAAGAGTTTCCAAAGTACTGTATTTATTGCTAAAGCAATATCATTAGACAATCTTGGAAGATTTAAGCTCTGGACCTCCTGAAACCAGGTTTTGTTCTGTATGCTATCAGATGCTAGGCCTTGATCTCATACTGTAAAAGCTGGTTGTTCATCTGGATTATTATTGAACATGTTTTCTTCTATGTTCTTCCAATGCAGGAAAGACTGAAGTTTTATATGTTGAAAGAGACCACTATAACAAAAGACAATGTTTTCATTGGTCCAAACACATTGCAGATATTTTTGGATAGCTTTAAAAGTATATTCCTGAAGAAAATGGAAGAACACTACAGCACAAATAACCAGTTAACGTAAGTCACACATTGTTTTACAATTAAAGTACAAGCTACAGGTACAGAGATTTCAGGGAAAGCTATTTGGGTATAGAATTAATAGTTTCCAAAAGTAGGACCAGGAGAATATAATATAATTATTGCATATACTGTAAATATTTCATAGTTACCCTTCTGAAGCCAGCAGGTGGCAAGTGTGAACTTGTACTCCAAGATCTCAGATGTATGATGTACTACTGTGCTAAGAATACAGAATAATAATAAGAAGAAGAAGATTAAGAATAGCACACTTCCATACTGCAAACACATGGGTCATCTAAAAAAAAGCAACAGATGGACCCTCCCATCCCCCCTTATTAAATGTCCTGTCTATATCTTATGTATACAGGAACAGTCTTGGCTGCAACAGCTCTCCTGGGTATGGAGAGAGACCTTTGCTGCTGGTAGTAGTGGAAATAGGAGGTCTTAAAAAGTTGATCCAATTATCCAAATCTACAAGTTATTATGAGCTTATCATTTTAAGTGGAATTAATGTTTGGCTATCAGCTGAGTGGAAACAACTTTGATCCAAGATATTGAATAGGTGGAAAATAAAGTGCTGGGGCTCCATCTATATGCCTCCTATATGCACCGAAACATCAAGAGGGCATCCGCTGAATAGGCTTAATTTGAAATACAATGCAGATTTTATTATAATGACATTGCCGAGGGTCTGATGAAGAAGCAGGTGATGAAAAAATCTTGTGAAATGCATAGAGTGATCCTGGACTCACTGGAAACAGCAGCAATCATCACATCAAGGGTTGAATTTTAAAGCCAACATAAAGAACAAAGTTTGTATGAAGTGTTGTGTTGAAACCGAAATCTTACCTGGTCATCATAGTAACAGTTTGAGGGTAACCCACAGATGCTGTATGATTGCATTGTATACTTCATAAAAGTTGCTTTTATTGAAGAAATAATATAAAAAATATTTTTTATAAAAGTTTTTTAGATCTTAAATATGAGTACCATTAAAGTACAGCATGTTATTGTCAAAAAAAAATGAATGTGAATGAATTCAGATGTGGTACCTAACCCACTAACAAAATTCCTGGTAGCACTGTAGATCTTAAGTTTGCAGGAGAAGCCTACAAGTGCAGGGCTAGTGCTGGGCTCTCTTAAAGTACAGCATATTTTTCACACACTGAAACATGGAAGCACCCTGTAATAATTTTATATATTTTCAATAAGGATTTAATGTAAAAAATAATAAAATGAAATATCAGTTTATACATTTTTTATAAATATTTAATGCATGACCAAAAAAAACTACAATCTGCAGTTATATGAAACAACTATACTTGAATTGAGTGCTTTAAACTTTATTTTACCTCATTGCTATTAGTAAATAAAAATACACAGGGACACGAACATGGAACTGGTGAGTGTCTTTTGTTTTTAAATTCATTTAAATACACAATATTTTTAAATACCTGTAATGTAAACAAATACTTGTTACTAGGGATGCACCGATACCGATATAAGCATCGGTATCGGCGGCGATACCGAGTATTTGTATGAGTACTCGTACTCGTGCAATTAACAAGAATGTAACTTATTTTCCATCACTCGGCTGTATGTCCTCAAATTGTCTCTGAATTGGCTCTGACACTGTCCTTCCTTCTGGAGGGTGGCTACTTTTGTTCCCCATGGTTCCTGTGTGTTTCATAAAGTAGCCACCGCTCCAAGCTCACACCCGTTATGGACTACAATCTCACGTTTAATTTACTATTTTGTACTCAGATTGTAGTCCATCACGGGAGTGAGCTTTGAGTGGGGAACAAAAGTAGCCTCCCTCCAGAAGGAAAGACAGTGTCAGCACCAATTCAGAGATGATTTGAGGATCTATAGCCGAGTGATACACAAATAAGTTAATAGTAAAGTAATAGTAAAGGTAAAAATAATAGTAAAGGTACTTGAATGCACTTTTAAGTTTTAACTCCTGAGTTTAGTGTCACTTTAAACATAAATTGACTGGTGGACAGTATAAATGGCAATATTTTCAGTTATGTATTTAAAAAGGTATTTCACAGTATATTCTTGAGAAATGTCAGATTCTCAAGACATCATAGGTATCTAGGTCTCTTAAGATTTATGCTTTGATTTCTTTCCACAGATGCGTACTTGAGACACTTGCTAACACTCGAAGGGATGTGAAGAAAACTCAAGAAGCAATTGATATCCTAGAAGAAAAATACAATGAAGCACAAATTATTGTTGCAGATATTTTAAATAAACTTATTACAAAGACTTCCATTTTGGAGAGATTGAAAGCCACATTGGGTGAGCCATTTGATACACTTTTCAGTTAATACAGTGCGAATAGCTTTGTACTGTGGAGTAGAAGTAACACATCTATTAGATTATATCACAACCCTGTTTCAATATCTGTAGAGTTTTCTTTTTTATATAGGTTTTATCTTTGTTATACATGGTAATGAAAGCTATTTCAAGGATTATCCAGTCTCGCTTGTTGTCAGTAAACATTGATTTCATGTATACCGGGCCATAGAGAGCTCATCTCTGACCCGAATTTAAAAACGCTTCCTTACTCATCTGAACCCCAATGGCAGTTCATGTGTGTGATCTTTTTCTGCTGACAAGTTACATCTATTGTGCTAGAAATTAGCATTATTATCACATTTTACTTTAGGGTAATAACTTGAGCATCCTTTAATATAATTTATATAGATTGCTTTTACTTAGTTTGGGTTATTTTTACAAAATCCATCCTTCTGTCATTAAGGCACCTCTTTAAATCTGACAATACACAAACATGTCATGTTTTTTTGCAGTCACCAGGCACCACGTACAGACAAAAATGTATTCTTGATGATGAAAAGAGTTTTCATAAGGCATTTTTTTCAGGCATACAAATGACATTTTTGTCTTCAGTCAGGTGCATGTGGAGAGAAAATATCATTTAGAAGAGATGTCCAGGAAAACTGGAAATAATCTGTTTTGGAAAGCCTTATTGCAGTCCCACCTGCTGGTGGAATCTGGTATTGCAGTGGAACAGTAAAACATATGAATTGTTTGTTGCATAACAACATACTTTAAATAGAAATCCATATCTCCCCTGTGTGGCTTGCTCACATCTATATGCTGCAATGTAGTGCTGCAATATAGGTGTCATTCACACCAATGCAGGTCCATTACCATGCGTGCTGCAATGCACATATACTGAATATTTGAATGGGCTTTAATACATTAGTGTTATACCTCACTGGTTAGATTCCAGTCTGCCAAGTTGGGGAGGTGTGAGAATACTGCACAGTTGGACACCAAAGTACATGCTCTCTGCTTAGATCATGTCAATGGTTTTAAAGAATACATGTGCTTAAAGAAATATTTTTGCTGCCATTTCTGAGCACTTCTTCCTAAAATACTAGTTATCAAATGGTGTCGCAATCATCCAATGGCTTCAAAAATATTTGAATAATTGACCCAGAACAATTCAGTTTCGGGTGCTCCAACTTCACTTTCTAATCAGTATATAAAAGTATGAAAGTCAGATGGTCACATTGACAACCAGGCAACTAGAATTTTCATAAAGATCTCAGCAAAAGCAGTATACATATTGTAATCATAACTGAAAAAAACCCAGCAAAACATAAATAAATAAATTAAAAAAGGGGGACAGACTCAATGGACTTTTTTGTCTGCTCTGTGTTTCTATTTCAGATTGTCTCTAAGGCCTCAAACAATAGAAATTCTGCAGTGGGGTGAAGGTTTTGTGTTTTTTTCTCAACATGGCAGTAAATTGTTATATATCTAAAACTGCAAAGTTAATTTTTGTCATTTCCTTTTTAACCAGGTATTGGAGATGAAACTCTTCAAATATTTCTGTCACAAAATGAAAATGAACTGGACGATTTTCAAGAGAATGATGACTTATTGAAAGATGGTATAGCATACAATTATTTTATGTGTCTTTGTATTTCTTTAAAGTCTTATTATAAGTAGTGAAATGCTTTAATGATTTAGATAAACAAATTGTCTTTTACCTTCAATGCAGGAGATAATCTGATCATTTATCAGCTGTGCCTTTCTGACCTCATACCTTGGGGGTAGCACTGCAAATCTGCTTTGACAAAAATTGAATATTGTATCCCCCCCACCCCTCCCTGTTGGTGTTTTTACACTGGTGGAGTTTGAATTAAATTAAATTACATTTCTGCAAGAAAAAAAATCTTCCACTCTGCTGTTTTCTTCTTACACCATAATTTAACATCAGTGATATAAGTACACCTTGTAGTGTCAACAATACATTCTATAAATGACCAAACTGTATTAGTCAAATATTCCTCAAGACCTGTAGAGATTTTTTCACTTATTTTGTTTTATAATACAAAAAGGTAAAACCCCATAAAGTGTATGTTCACTAAGCTTGGCGAATGAGGAGAAGCTGTGTTTACTTTGCTAGGTATATGTTTGCTAAGTTTAGTGCATGAGGTGAAGCGGTCTTCACTTTGTGTTCACTTTGTACACCAACTACACCTAGATCAGTTTGATTCAGTGGCATAACTATCACCATAGCGACCCAGGCAGCCGCTATGGGGCCCGGCGCACCTGTCAGTGATCTGTGCAGCGGTGCGTTCCTCCTCACAGCCACCCGTGACAGCCAGCAGTCTGCAATGCCATAGCGACCCAGGGGGCCCGCACTGCATCAGGGGGACCCCTTTGTTCCTCATCCTGGCACCCCTTTGTTCCTCGAACCAGCAGCTGCGGTGAAGGGGGCCGGGGCCCGACAGCTGCAGTGGAGAAGGGGGAGGAAGAGGCCAGGACCGGCGACGGTGGAGGAGGTGTGGCCCACCGGCGACCAAGGAGGTGGCGGGCCCGGCAGTGGAGAAGGCTGACAGGTAAGAGGTGTGCAGGGGTGTGACCAGCCCACCGGCGACCAAGGAGGTGGCGGGCGCGGCAGTGGAGAAGGCTGACAGGTAAGAGGTGTGCAGGGGTGTGACCAGCCCACCTGAGACCCTGCAGAGGCCACCATAGAGAGTATATGGTGGGCTCTGCAGGGTCACTCTCAGGTGGGCTGTGTGGGATCTCAGGTGGGCTCTGCAAGGAGCGTAACTAGAAATCACAGGGCCCGATACAAAATTTTTAAATGGGGCCCTGTGATTTCTAGTTACGCCCCTGGCTTGATTACCTAATCATGGGCAAGGAAAATATAAAAAATAGGATTATTTTGCTAGTGTTTGTCACAGCTTCACATTATTCACTAAGCTAAGTTACAATTCACATAATTGTAAACAGTTTCTACTCCGTTAAATCTTTTAAAGCTTTATACTTCAAATTTTTTCTCCAATAAATCTTTTAAGACTTATCATAAATCATCTGACTCTACCACTCTTCCTTGCCTTTTGGCAGTTCTACAGCAGCCAAGTATCACAAAACAATAGTGGAAAACATCTTGATTTAGGAAGATATTCCTTCAAACAATACTTGTATATAACGAATGTGTAATGTTTTATATGTAATCAGAATACTGCATTTACATACTGCATCCACTGTTGGATTCTAGATCATTGGGATGAATATGATGATGCATTTATTCACATGAAGGAAGCCACTAAAAAGTCCTACCTTCATGATATCATGCAAAAGACAGAAAAGGCAACAGATGAACTGGTGGAACTAAAGAAAAATCTGCAACTTGTAAAAAATGAGGTACAGCTTGTATATAATTTCCTGTTAATTAAATTCAATCATTCCATCCATCAATGGATTTTACAGCATATCTGAGGTACTGAGAGAAATTTACAGCTTCCTTTATCAAAGTGTGTGGAATAAAAACTGACAAGGTAATCCAATAGAATCTCGTTCAAAGTTGCTTTGAAATCTTAGATATGGAAATTAAAAAAACACTAAATATGACTGAATACATCAGGTTTCTGAGCACTGATACAAATGGTTTTACATCAGGTACTGTTGGAAATGAGAACCTAGAACGGGCAAGCTTACTGGATTTCTGGCAGTATTGCCAGATTTTTTTTCTTTTTTGCACTTATTACACAAATGTGACAACACACTTTAAATTGTATATTTATCAGAAGGAAAGTTCGGGTTTGCAAATACTTTATGATTCAAATCTTGTGCCCTTGGGGGTAGGAGCTATGCTCTAAAAACTTGAACAATGTTTCTAAATCGTATCTCCTATGCTCCTCTGCACTGTTACCGATCCTCCACCCCAATTAGCAGGAACAGCTGTCAAAATGCAGCCCCTGTTGTGTAACATGACACTTGCAAATTGCGTGAAAGCGTACTGAGTACATACAATGTAACAATTGTATGTAAGTGTATTTAAAGGAGAACTATGGGGTCAGTGCTTTTCCCCATAGTTCTCCTCAGGGTCATGGGAGGACACAAACTAGCGTCCTCCCGTCACCCAAAGCCTAGTATACTGAGACTGCCGCAACCGGGACGGATCCCGACATTACTGTCGAGCTCCACCCAGCTGCATGATTGACAGCTGGCTCTGCCAATCTAGAGGCAGAGCCAGCTGTAACCGCCCCCTCCTGTCCGTTCCGCCAGTCAGCGCTGGAGGATCGGACAGGGGAGGGGGGGAATCCCTGCAGGGAGCCGTGAGTGACAGCCACGGCTCTCGGCAGGGACAGGATCGAGAAGTGAGCGAGCGACGGTATGTGTTCGCTCACTTCCCGATCTATTGAGCCAACCTGTGACAGTTTGATTGTCGCACGTCGGCTCGATCTATGAGGCTGAGTGATTTTACTTCACTTAATAGTTTTCCTTTAATATTTCATTCAAATTTAGTTTAAAGATGTGAACTTGTTTTTTACAGTGGAAAAGATGTGACCTTTGATCTACATATGACATCAGTTAACACAAACTTACAAATAAAATAAAAGTTTTTTATTTGAAGTTAAATGTATTTCTATTTAACATCTTATTAACCCTAAGTTAACTATCACCAGGCCTCCTTAACTTTTTTTTCCTCTTTGCTATTATTTATCTGCTGATTTTTTTTATTTCCATTTTTCATCAGTAATATTTACTTTTTTTTAGTTTATTTTTGTTTTGTTTACTATGTTTTTAGAGCTGTATAAAAATAATTGTGCAAAATACAAAAGGCGATTTTATTTGCAAGTAACTTTCATTCTTTTTTTTTTACCAGAAACATAATTTTAGTGTCATTATAGAGAGGACAAATTATTCTACTTATATAATTACACCTTTTATTGACAGTAATAGTTCTCATTTTAAACTAACACTGGTCAATTTTGAAACAATGCATTTTTGCAAAACATTGTCAACAGAAGTCTTGTTTGTCTCGAAAAAAAAAAACATTGTATGTATAATTTACTGTATATTATCTTAAATTATGAAAAAGTTATCGGCAAATAAACAGCCTCGTAATGGAAATTCAAAAATGGCTATGGTACACAGGCGGTATATATGTACAAGGGCTGAAGTTATAAAGGAAGTATCAAAGTGGACCCAAAATAAGTGGCAATTTAAAAACAAAACCAAAGCATTTGTAGTTCGTTGATCGGATATAATAATTATATTATTCATATTTATCATATGTCACTATGTAAAACATATGCTTATGCAACTGGTTGTGTTACACAGGAGCCAGAGCTTGCAGATGTTTAGGAGATGTTTAAGTGTTGCACTCCAAGAACAGTACATATTTTTTCATAGCTGAAGACATTTGACTGCTGTGTTAGGTTATAAACCTCATGGGTTCCTTGCAGGTGATGCATTGGTGCAGTAAGGTGGACAAACCATGTGTGGAAAGACTTGTACGATGCCAAAAACCCCCATATCTGGTTGGTCAGGTAAGGATTAATAATAATAACTATGTCAACAACTTATAAAAACTAGAACAGGGTAAAATCAGGTGAGCTGACTGAAAACTAATAAAGTTAGGCTTTCACTCTCTATCATGTATTAGAGGTACATCTAAATCTACTTAATTGCTGTAGAGAGCATAACAATGTTTTATGCATAAGTCCTTTAGAATACATCTAGGAGGGTAACTACTATTAAAACTACTGTATGGTCAAAGTTCCGTATTTAATGAAAAATAAGGAAATACAGGAATCCTTCTTTTCAAAGTGGGCATTCTCTTTATCATCACAAGAACAGAAGCAACTGGGTTTATTTAATAAGGTAGATCAACTGCAAAGACATTTTTTCATTAGCATTAACCAGGGAATGCAACTTTATAATGGATAACTGGGGGGTATAGATTTGTTTGAAGAAAGGGGGGATATGTATTTCACAAAATATAATACAATTTACAATCATAATATACAATTAACGATTGTATGCACAAAATTAGTTTCTTATACTGTAAAATAACTACGTATTCCAGCTATTTCTATCTGAGCAATTCAGAAAGACTTCTGTAAATGTTTATTTTTTATATAATGTTTATTTTTTACGTTTAAAACATAAACATCTCACAATACAAATATACAAATTTGCAGAAACAGACAAGTCAAGAAAAAGACATTGTACGTAAGAAAAAAGAGAAAAAACTCGGTCAGAGTAATGTCTCTAAGTTGGTTCAGGACATTGTTCACAAGCACTTAGATCATGCTTCAGTAGGGACATTAATACAGTGGTCATATATGACAAAATGAGAAACATATTGGCATAGGAAGGGACAAGGAAGGGCAGGGTCAGGAGGGTAGACAGGAACAGGGAAAGGAAAGAAAACAGGGGAGCCCATGTGTGAGAACATAAACATTGTACAGATACAAAATAGCAGCAACAATATCAAGAACAAGCAGGCCAGCCGGGTAAGCAGCTGGGGGATTAATACTTACCAACAGTCTCTAGTATTGAAGTACAAACCAAGGCCTCTCACAAGAAGACCAACCAAAGTCCAATTTCAACTCAAGTAAAGAAGGATCTTATCAATCATAACCTCTGTAAATTATTTAATACAAATTAGAACTGTAGCTCATCCTGATATTTGTTAATGCCAACTATACAGACAGATGATCTTTCATCTGTTGTAACCGATAACCCAAAAATCACCCATTGATGTCAAAAATGAACCACTGAGCCAGTGAAGTTAGTAAAGCAATTATGTAATGTTCTGTTAGTTTCCATGATAAGTGTAATGACAGCATAAATAGCATTTTTGTTTTCTTATTTAAGATTTTGGAAATGGCTTTGGTCATGATCAGTTGCCTGCCAACATCTGAAAACGCAAATGAACTTCCAAAATCTTCAGGTCACTTAAATGAAAAGTCAGACAGCAGAGCCAGCAATAGATTTCAGCCTTCACCTGTAGGAAAATCGTCCCCACCAAAGCGAGGTAAGGAAAAGGTCATTTTCTGCTCTAATATGAAATGAACTTTTAAATGTAATATTCCAGCATGACAGTAAGGTGTCACATAATTGTGCATATTAATTTTTTTTTTTTTAATACTTTGCCTGTTTATTTTTTATTAGTGCTGATTTATATCTGTAAATAGTAACTGCCTTTGTCCTAAACACAGATTCATTGTTTTTTTCATACTGACAGGCTTCAGAGAACCTTCTGACAAAGTTGACAGAGCAAGGTGGAAGAACATACAATATCATATTGGCGAGACCAGCAAGTTTGTTGATATGATACATCAGTACGTTTAATTTAAATGTATTTACTGATGCATTTACTTGGGCAGTATTATGATGGAATAAGGAACCAAACCAACATTCAGAATGAAAATACCTATTCCACATACTTCTGCCATAGATCTGTAATTGTTATTTTCGGTTTCTCTTTATATCCATAAATGCAGATAAGTGGTTTTGAAGTTCATAAAGTTGGCTTAATGATTTGATAGACACTAACATTGATGCTGAAAATAGATTACAAATTCATAAACATTTTATACTTCACTATACTGTATATTTAAATATTGTAGACAATACTAAACTAAAAGGAGGAATATGAGGTGAGTGATTGAAACTGTCACATGTCAGCTCTATTGATCGGGAAATGAGCAAACACATACAGTTGCTCGCTCACTTCACGATCATCTCCCTGCAGAGAGCGGTGACTGTCAGTCACGGCACTCTACAGGGATTCCACCCTCCCCTCTCCCATCCTCCAGTGCTGACTGGAGGAACAGACAGGGATTGCACAGCTGGCTCTGGATCTAGAGAGGCAGAGCCTGCTGTCAATCAGCTAGCTGGGTGGATCTCGACAGTATTGTCGGGATCCGTCCCGGCTGTGGCAATAGCCCACTATATACTGAGGTTTGGGTCATGGGAGGAGGTTAGTATATGTCCTCCCGTGACCCCAAAGAGAACTATGGGATAAAAAGGTTACCTCATAGTTCTCTTCTAACTATTATCTAATTTATCCCCTTATTTGTTAAAGTAGCGATGAAATATTCAATAGAGCTTACCAGTCATTGAATCTCTTCCTGAAGAAGCTTACAGTCTCACTTTACACTTTGGTCGCACACAAACTGGGACTATTTCTTGTGGAAGCCAGTTAAGCTACAAGAATTACTTTTTTACATTGTGGAATTAAACTCGAGTAATCAGGGCAAACCAATGCATTTAAAGATAGAACAGACAACAAAATACTAGTTAAAAGAGCCCATTGAAATAGCATACAGGTTCAGTGCTAACCATTTAGCCACAAAGCAGCCTGGCTATATATACACTGAGTGGCCAGATTATTATGACCACCTGAATGTTAAAGAGTACAATGTTCTAACAAGCATAAAACCTGCATATTCTTCAAAATTCTGCATGCATAATACAAAACTATATACATATTTCACTATTACAAAACACCTATATATACGCAGGTGATAAAAATAGTACTTTTTAGTAGTATAAAAATATACACTAAAACATATTAAATGCATAATTATATAACAATATGTAACAATATCAGTGCAGCTTTTGGTTACAATGTTTATAACTGTGTATTCAGGATTGCAAAACTTCAAGATGGACTTCCAGACCAGACTATAAAAGATGTTGAGGCCTACCTTGGTAAAGCAAAAGAAGGTTCAACCGGTGTAACTGGGGAAGGCTCCTTGCTGGAAAATGCTGCCCCACGTATGTACAATTAAAATTTAATTTATTGCAACCTACCATTATGCTTTTGGTTGTTAACAATAATTACTGATAAACAACATGCCAACATATATAATAAAATAAAAACAAAGCTAATTTCTAAGGAACAGATTGAAATGAAATTGGTGTAATTATGGTAGAATGTAAGTGGCCATAGGATCACAGACGATTTGAATGTTGAAACTAAAATGTATTTATCAAATGCCTTTATAAATGTTCTCAGTGAGAAAACATCTTGAGAGGGCACTAAGGGGAGAGGAAAGTGCTGGTCAATGTTGACTGGCACTGCAGCCTGTATTAAGTTTGGTGCTATCTACTGAAGATAATGTTTAGCTCAACACACATTCTCTGTGCTCGTCATTAGGAAATACTTGATTTTACAACCCTCATGTCAACATGTATGGTTCCATTGTCAGGGATCTACATTCAGTGGGTTCACCCAGCTGGGTAGCCTCAGTTCGGTTTGTTTAATACACAGTTGAATGTTAAGTGGTTGGCTTAAAATCTGTACATGTTGGTGCCTGCTCTAATGGTTTTCCTGCATTTTCTCTGCTATGGCTTCCACTCCCACACCTGCACATCCTCTCAGGTTGGGGGAAGGGGCAAAATAAAGCACAATTTTTCTTCAGCAGAAATTGACATACTATACGTTGTTACTGGTCTGGCCCCATTATTTAATACTTGGTTGCACATTTCTAGTATTTTCTGTGGTGCTTAGATTGATATTCCTGCTGACTCCACAATCCTTGACTTTGTTGTAACTCTTAACTTCACCTTTGTTCTTCAGCCTTGTTTTGACATTTTTTATTATGGATGCTGCTGGGACTATTCTTGACTAATCCTTTGTCTAATTCTTTGGCATGCTGACCTTGGTCCTTGCCAGTTTAGAGACTATTTTTTGGTATCATGTCACTATCCTATCAAGCCCCTTGACTTCTGGTCCATCTACTGGGTCTTGTGTGACTGCTGCCACCATGCATGAAATCCTGGAGGCACCTGACTACTGTGGCAGGCATATAAAGAATCAAAAAGTGTGGGCTGCTAAAGGTGAAGAGCCGTGCAACAGAGGTTTTCCAGTCCGAACTAGTACCTGTATCATACACTCATTGTCATCGCTCTAGTCCGAATAGGTTTAACACTACCCAACAGTGTGACTTTAAAATATAGCAATGATAAAATATGACTGAGACACTTCAGAATAATTTTAATTATATTCAATCCCCCCCAAACATATAATAAAGTGAATAATGTACTGTATATGTTTTATTTCTTACAGTGATATCTTTGTACTGAACAAATAAACTGCAATGTGTCCATATTCTAGTTGTTTTAATGCAGCTCTGGAGTGAAGTCGGTTCCAGAGAACAACAAACACAAAATATAGACACATTACCAAACAACTGTCTTTATTAACACTAGCATAAGTATATATGAAAACTGCAAACTGAAATACAAAATGTGCCTTTTCCTATTAGTTTGCAATTGCAGATTGGTTATAGTATTTATTTAATGTTAAAATGTTATTTGCCCCTTTTCTACAGATGCTACACCCCAGTCCATAACACCAGCTAAGAAATATTCACAAAATGATGGTGACAAAACAAAAGATAATAAAAAAGGAGGAATCACTATTGCAGCAGCACGCTACAGCTCTGAGGATGCAGCATCATTGGTGGCATTCATTGTTGCGATTGTAGAATACACTCGGCTTTGTGTACCACTAAAAGAATGCCAGAAAAAGTTGGCAGACTTAGGGAGAGAGAAGGAGGATCTTATTGTGAAGGAAGAGCAGTCAAAAATGGTGAGTGTATCCAAATATATGTGCTTTATACATGAGATAAAACTTCCTTGAGATAAAACTCCAACTGCTGTGTAAGTTGAAAAAATTGCAAGGATGTTAGCAAACTTTTCTACTGTTTGCATTGGAACTCACCCCTCAATTCCTACTTCCTGCAGCCACTTCCTAATTCCTTGGTGCTGAGTTGGTGGGTCTTCTTGTTAGAGTCACGTTATAGTTGTATTCAGGGCCGTCTTTAACGCAGGGCAAAGGGGGCAGCTGCCCAGGGCCCAGTCATTGTTGTGGGGCCCAAAGTGCAGCTGGCAAAGGTGGCTTTTGCACCTGGATAAGGGATAGGGAGCCTGCCAGGTGAGGGGACTACAGCCTGAATCATGGCAGCATGAACCGGGGGTGTCTGATGGGGAGGCCCTGAGTGTCTGCATGTGTGTATTAGGGAACACAACATCCAGAGAGAGTGGGTATGTGATGGGGGTCACTACATGCTTTCCATGTACATATGATGTCGGACAATAAACCTTAGTAAGGCTGCATAGACAGTCGTCTGCGGGCGCCGGGGGGGGGTTGGTGATAGGGAGGGGGGGAATAATGCACCTTCACCTGTGTACACAATAATCCTTGCACCAGCCCCGCCCTTGAGTCCGCAAAAGATACACCTGCGCCACTCTTCTGTTTACTGTGCGATCGGTATTGCATAGTGCTGCTCCGCTCCTGCGTATGCATGGGCGAAATTGCATGGCGGGGGCGGGTAGGGGGTCGGGATAGGTAGGAACGGGGGGCCCAAGAAAATGTTTGCCCAGGGTCCAATCAGTATTAAAGACGGCCCTGGTTGTATTAAAGAGTATCCCTGGGCAAAATCAGAAAAAAAACAGGACATGTCAATACCTGCACATTTCCCCATGTTTCATCCGTTTAAATCTTGTGTGCTCCATACTTTCTGTTTGACCTGACAACAGAATGCACAGGCCAGTTCTCTACAGATAGGTTGCAGAACACCCCTCTCTCATTTTAATAACACATGGGCCAGAGCCATGCCACCAATGAGGCCAGACTATCTTGTAGACTCCGATCCCCGCTATTGAAAAAAAATAATAGAAGAAATAAGTAAAAGTAAAACACTTTACACAAGTCTTTAGGTGAACTCACCTAATCAAGGTGACATCACTGGGACTTCTTCAGGGATCCCAGGAAGCTGAGGATCCCAAATCTTGCAAGAAGACACCCATGCACATTTCTAGAGTGACTTCTGTGAGATTTGAGCTCCTCAGCGTTCCCAGGATTCCTGGAGAAGACCCAATAATATCGCCCTAACCTACAGAAATCTTCTGGAAGCCGGGGTGTGTAGTGAGTAGTTCTACTATATTTTTTCTCATGTTTATTTGTTTATTTTAACTAAGCTTTTGCACATGAAAGGATGGGGGTCTAAAAGATAATTCACCTTGCATGTTGATAAAGGGCCTGCTTTAAACAGAGGCATGTATTCTCACAGCGACTACCAACACATAATGTAATTAGGTAATCCAAATTACAGTGATGATATTCAGTTTGGATAAATGCATAGCAACCAACTAGTCTCAGGTTTCATCAGTCAAAGCAAGTTAGACTCTTTAAAGTTGATTGCTGATGGTCCCTGTGCGTGTTGTAAAGTGGCCACCGCTCCAAGCTTGCTCCTGTGATGGACTACAATCTCACATTTAGTTCACTAATATTTATTGAAGTTATAGACCATGGCAGGAGTGAGCTTGGAGCGGTGGCCACTGTCAACACACACAGGGACCATGGGGAACAAAAGTAGCCACCCTCCAGAAGGAAGTACAGTGCCAGCACCAATTCAGAGATGGTTTGAGGATCTACAGCTGAGTGATGCAAATAAAGCTACATTTTTGTTAATAGTTAATTAAGGTACTTAAATGCATTTTTTAAGATTTAACTCCTGAGTTTAGTGTCACTTGAATTATTTAGATTGGTTTTCTTTTTTAAATTTTGGAAACATTTTATCAAAGCTACAATGTGGCTACTTAATTATACTTGTGACTGCATAGTACTAAATTGCATTTATTTTAATTAGATAACAAACAGTTTTGAAGACGAGCCTGCTGTACTTCATCATCACATTCTCAGCACCCTTACTGCCGAAGATCTTTCCTCTCTCAAGGCAGAGGTAGAACAGCAATTCAGATCATCACAGATTTTTCAACATTATGTTTTTCACCTAAAAGTTACTTCACAGAAATTTCTGTTACTTTCATAAATATATACAATACAAAGTTCCAATTGCCTCATAGAAATGAAAGAGAATGTATAGTGGTTTTGTATGTATTTTCTTTTCTTTTAAATTATTTTTTTTAGTCTGTTAAATATAAAATATTGCAAATTAATATTTGTATTCTCCATTTGAGCCAGCACATAGAGCTTTAGACTGCTTTGTTATATATTTTCATCTATCTCTCTGCCTAACTGTTGGAAAAATACCTGTTTATGGAGATTAATAGCTCAAACTAAAATTTTTACACAAGTGATTGACTCATCACAGTGACTTATGCCTTATGGGACTTTTCAGTCCAGAGTTTTTGTCAGACAATCCCACCTTCCTGTCATTTTGGCTAACCCGCAGTACTCCAGGAATCGTTGGCCATGTATCCTATGACATGAAAACAATTTAAAAATGTATAAGCTAAATCACCCTTATGATATTTCATTCTGTTATGTTTACCTTACTGCCAAGGTATTGTTTTAATGCATTCATGCTAAGGATAGGCAGTAAAAGGACACCAGATGGAACCCTTTCTAGTAATATAGATAGCAATAACTCTGTCTTGTAGTGGTGTATATAATTTGTCAGAAGTATTTTTTTTTTCTGTTAAACTCAGCATAGACGGAAGGTATTATTTTTCACATACGGTGCATACATGTTCAGATCACATTTGACTGTACTTGTTTACCTATGGCATTGTCTTACATCTATGGTCACCTTAAATATATCTCCTTCTCCATCCCTTATCTGCCTCTTTTACTGTTTGATCTTGTGCAGTTGTTAATAGTGTATGATCAGTAATGATCAAGCCTTGCCATCACAGGTAGATAAACTCCATGAGGAATATGATTCTGCTATCAATCAGAAATACCAGCTGGTGGAGCAGCTACAGTCCCATGAGCAGAAGCTGCAGGCAGCAGTAGACATCCTGGACAGGTAGGTCATAAGTCCACCTTTTGCTGATTCAAATATAGCATCACACAATATCACTCAAGAAATCTATACATTTTCCTCATAACTCAAACCTAGGTAGAGTAGGGAAGGTTATGGATAGAGTGGGGAAGGTTAAGAACTCCTGTCAGGTTTTACTGATGTCAGAGGCTCAGTTGGAAAGACTCCTTCACTTCCTGTCTGGTAAAAAAGGTTGTCCCCAGGGCAGGAAGTGAGGAGAAAGCCCTCTAACAGCAACGCAGACAGAAGTAAAAATGTTGTTTTTTTAACCCCTTCATGACTGAGCTAGTTTTCAGGTTCTGTTCATAAATGACTGACAATTTTTCTACATTTTTGCTGTGTGATTCTTCCACAGCAGTAATATACTTTCTTACTAAATACGTCTAGGCAGCTGTCGTGCCTAGACGATCAGAACTGATACATTTCACTCAAAAGATATACATTGTATCTTTTGCGTGAAATGTATCTAAACATCGGGCTCTCGAGCTGTCAAAACAAATAGCAGAGAGGTGAGGTGAGTCACTGCTACCTCTCTGCTATTTTGAGCTGTCAAATACGGGATCGCAAATTGCGGTCCTCTATTTGCATGTAACGGCTTCATTCTTTCATTAATGAAAGGAAGAAGCTTTTACAAAAAGCTTAATTATTTCATTAATTAATGCCTCAATACTGAGACATTAATGAATGACTGTTAAATGCTGAGAATCAGCAAATACCGGCATTGCAAAGCCTGATATAACTCGTCACATACAGTGTACGTGGCCAGTCATATAGGCACAAAGTGACAGGACATACACTGTACGTCTCCCGTCACGAAGGGGTTAAGTTAAGTAGGAGGGTGTTAGAACCCCTGTCAGCTATTTATTGTTGTCTGTCTCCCTGTTGCAGATTTTCCCTCACTTCCTGTTCACTTAAAAAAACATCTCAAGAACAGAAAGTATAGGGAATTCTCTCTAACGGACCCACGAATATCAGTAAAACCTGATGCGGGTTCTAACCTTTCCCCATTCCATCTAAAACAAAAATAAAAGGTTTTAGGTACAGATACACATTAAGTCGTGCCCTTATGTTCATATTTTGAGATTTTTAGTTTGGCTTATGACTATATTAAATCATCAGATCATTTGTTGCATTGTGTAGGTTTTCAGTCAGTAGGATTAATGGAGCATTGTATTTTTTCTTCTCAAGGTTGAAAACACAAGAACAAACATGGAAAGATAGGATTCACCAAAACAATACTAATGACCTCCTTACAAACTGTGTTCTGGCTGCAGCCTATCTCACATATTGTCCAGCTTTCAGTGTGGATGGAAGGTACAAAGAACTTGCCCCATCATCTTATTGTGCCTCTGCAATGGCATACATTCAAGAGAACTGTTCTTGCTAAAATATTATTGTAATGCTTTCATTATAGGATGCGAGTAACCGAACAGCTCTTCACTGTGTGCGAGAACTGTGGACTACCTCTGCCTCAGAGAATGCTCCTGAAGGACCTTGCCCTTATGGAGTTCCTGCACATTCCGGTATCATGTCTAATCATGTCATATCTGCTATTGTTTTAAATAAAATATATACTACTTAAAATACAACTATGGGGTAACCTTTTTATCCCATAGTTCTCTTAAGGGTCACGGGAGGACATATACTAGCGCCCTCCCGTGAGCCAAAGCTCAGTATATCGCGGGCTATTGCCCGCGGTATACTGAGAGCGCCACTGTTGGAACGGATCCCGCAATGCTGTCGAGAGCCACCCAGCTGTGTGAGTGACAGCTGGCTCTGCCTATCGCTCACTTCCCAATCTTTAGAGCCGATGTGTGACAGTTTCATTGTCACACATCGGCTCGAACTATGAGGTTGAGTAAAAATCACTCACTTCATAGTTCTCCTTTAAGGGTTCTTAGGGAATCTCTAAACACTTAACACACATAGGGTTCGCTAATTAATTCACATCTCCCTTTTCCAGTGGTAGTTATGTGTTAATTCTAAACCCTTATCTAAGTGTAGCACTCACCCCTGAAGGAACCGCTGGTTGAAATGGGTTCTTCTGTCCTCAGGAGGTAACCCGTCCAATCCTGACCCATAACACACCAACACACCTGGCAAGATTTACCAGGCTTTAATGAAAGGCAAAAGCCCCTTTTTGTTTTAGATGGGAGAAAACCAAATAGCAATATGAGACAGCAATATGAGACTTTTAATCATAAACACAGCACATGGAAGTAATAACACAGGTACAGCACAAACAGAATAAGCCAAATGTAGGGCAATATATTCAAATCTAACTATCTATGCAGGGAACTGTGATAGAGGTGACTAATTTACCCAAGTTAAGGACAACTAAATATCTCCTGCCCCACCCTACTGGCTATTAGTGCTATATCCTGTACAATCTAGCTGGCTTTGGGGCCTTTAGTATGTGCGCTTTTAAACAAAGTTGTAACGAATTAACAAAGCAGTGAAGTGCTCCCAGTAAAAGGGTTTCATCACAATCTCACAAAAGCAGAAGTGTTCGCATGCAACAGGTAAAAAGAAGTCAGTGGCTCAGAAGCCTACCACCACGGTAAATGATCCTTAGGCTTAGAGTGTTCCCATATGTGTATGCCAGCAAAAAGGGTCTCCCCCCCTTTAACCAGCGTGCAGCAGAACTCCAGATGATCTTCCAGGAAAGGGAGCGTATCAGTAGCAATCACAACATCCTCAATGTGGCAGCAGTCAATGGACCTCTCACTCTCCACAGTGGCAGCCACAATCTCTATGGGTCCCAGCACAGCAGCAGTAGCGATCCTTCTTCACACAGTCCAAATACACAATACACAGCAGACAGATGGGCAGCTCCGTTCCCAATACTTACGGTTTTACTTACTCTAAGCCCTGTACTGATAGAAAAGTGAGCAAAGCAGGCAGCTCGTCTTCCTGTGGAAATTCAGTCCACAAGCAGAGAACATAGCAGCAAGTCTCTCTCTAGCATCAACTAGCCAGAGAACTTCTCTTCCCTCCCTCATCTCTTAAAGAACTACTGACCTGGCTACATAAGATGACATGGATTGGCTGTTAA